TATATATATATATATATATATATATATAGGGTCATTCTAAGAATATACTAATGGTGAATTGAGAATTTATTTCTCCAAAACTTTTTACCTTATGTGTTAAAAAATGACTTTTGATTATAAATAGTTCATGTACTTTAGGACGGATATTATTGTCTTTTTAAAATCCATCCAAAACTCAATTTCAAATTTAAAAAGATCCCTTTGATTTTTTGAATGATGAGTGGATCTTTAAAGCAATTTAAATTACAAATATGCCCTTCTCAGAATTTTTAAACAAGCTATTGTTAATGAATTATTATACTTGTAAGGGCATTTTGTTGTCCAAAAATTTTTGGAGTAAGAAATTCCAATTAGTATGGTGTATTCTAGAATATCCCATATATATATATATAAGAGTACATATACGAAGCATTCAATTGGGAGTGGGGACCCTATGGAGATAGAGACTTTGGGGTAGGGTACCTACTGAGGGGGGTCCTAGAAGAGGGAGTTTAGGGTAGCCTAGTTTCTTAGCCAATTCAATCTCTATTTCCCCTATTATTAGTATCATTAATTGAGAATGAATTACAAGTCTAAAAAAGGTGAAGACCATAAACTTTCTCTTGACCCGTTCCAAGCCCGGGTAAAGCAGAATCGATGAAATTCAAAGCAACCCTAAATAGTTGGGAAAGGGCTCTGATGATGATTATGAATTGAGAATGTATTACAAGAAATCTAATTAGAAAATGAAAGTCTCTTTTTTGGTAAATACCTAATTACTTTATGCCAAAATAATACAATTGGATATTTCAACTGTTTTTAAAAGATATTATATTTATAACAAATCTTAAGATGATTTTTTAGGATTTTTGCGATTATTATTGTTTTAAAATAATCATTGACAATTTAAATTAAGAAATTTGAAAATTTTAGAAACCTACTTTCCCTGGTAGAGAAAATCTAGAATTTGATTGGAGCTAGAGTTAGCTATAGATTCATTGAATGTGCTTATAGAAAGTGATTGAGAATGGAGGTATGACTTACGAGTTCTCTTTCTCCTAGAAAGAGATTTTAGGGAAATTGGAGGGAAAAAGGAGACATGGGGAGAAATTCAAAGTGACACTCCTTATTTATTCTCCCTTAGTAATATAGATAATTTAGTTATATGTATACATGAGGAGGAATTTTCTTATATTTTATGGCTTATTATCTTCATTGTAAACCCAATCCCAAATCCTCAAATGCTTCTTTTTCTTTGTTTGAAAATTGTCGGTTTACTGTTTGTACCATCTTAGGTATAATAATAAATAGTAGAAATATTACC